CGCCGCTCGCGCCGCGTTCGAGGCGTTCGCGTTGCGACGCTATGTGTTGTGTGCGGAGCCTAACGTCATACTCAACGCACGCTGCGTCCAGTCGCTCTGCATCGAGCGTCATCGAGCGGGTTTTGTAAACGGATAGGCGAATGTTCACTACAATATGCGATGGCGACCCGCGGAGCCATACTTGTTCTGGTACAAAACTGTTTGCCAATACAAACTACTGGTACTCTGGTACACTGGTACAAAAAAAGCTCCATACCAGCCCAAGCACCCCTACTAGGGGACCCGGTCCCCTAGACGGTCCGGTCAAAATTTTTGACTCAAAAATATGTGAGTCACATAATGTGACCGCGAAGCTTCCTTGGACCAGTGTGCAAGCGTGCCCCGCGTGTGGTCACGTCGCATCTGAATCGCGTGGAATATTATTGACCTACAGCCTAACAGGTCTTATTCAACGAGATCACCAGACGCGCTGGACAATATGGAAGCCCGCCCGCCCGCGACTGTCGATGCAAACTTCATCTCACCCCCGACTCACAGCGACAAGAGGTCTCGCGCTTGTATCGGGTGCAAGCTCGTCAAAACTTTCGATCAGGTGACTACTTACCATACGTTTGAGCACATCTTTATGCTGAGCTCGTTAAGTTTATCGAGGATGGTTGCGAAAACTGTCAACACTTAGCTCTGAAAGACGATCGGGAACGCGTTTCAGAATGTACTACAACAAGCTATTCTGGGTAAGTGTAACGTGCCCTCCTACTCTCGTACTAAATACGTCTTCGTAGTGTTGTATCGCTTTTAAGCGACGAAAATGCGTCTTGGGTAGGGAAGTGGTTGCACCTAGGTACACTTCCCGAGCTTTGACGTTTCTCTTTCTCAATGTGTCCGCAGGTAAATATGCATGCGGTTGCTACGCCCTTCAATTACAAGGCTCGTTGATCACCCCCGTCGACAAACCCGTTGGGCGCACGTAAGTTCCGCTGAAATTCATAGGAAACTTCTTGCTTGGTTTTGCATGAGGCTGAGCATGTTGAGCAGGCCATTTGTTCTGGAGGGTGTAAGTGCGCTTTTCAGACCGAGGTCAGCGATGAAATTTGGCGTCACACTAGATATTTCTTCTGGCGAGTTACCGCTGAGAGCCTTTATTAGTAGAGCAGCTAGACCTTTGGTCAGCAGTGCGTCAGACTCCGCGTCGTAGTACACCAGGCCGTCTTTGAGCGACGGAATTATCCAGACCTTTCAAAACCTTTAGATAGGAGGAAAAATTCTAGCAAAATGATGTAACACCTGCGAAACACAGCCTGGAACCTGCAAGTTCCTGTGAGTACCGAGTTCATAGAAAAGAATACGTTCATAGAAAGAATACGGACCTTGTACATGTCACACAGTCTTTCCTGCAAGCACTGTTAGTAGGCATGTTGGGAGAGGCGTGGTATTCTTACCGCCTGTACAGGTGTAAGGGTTTTCGCCATGAAGAGCAACTGCCGGTATCTTTGCATTGGATCAGGGACCTTTCAGCACTTGAGCGATGCGGCAGCTGAGATGAAGATATAGACGCACTGCTTGAAACGAGCTCACTACTGAAGCTAGACTCTTCGGCGATATTTCGCCAGTTTCGGCTCTCACTAGAATAATACTTCGAGGGGTCAGGCGCGTACGCCAACGAGATCTCTCCTGTACATCTCGTCGGCGCGCAACGCCAGCATCCGTGCGAAACCAAGGCGTTCTGAGCCTGGCGCTCATTAACTTGTGCTCACTCCGTATCCGTCTACACCACACACGAAAGTACGCGCAGAAATCACACGTTCCGTGCTGCTGCGCAATATCTATCTTTGCAGGTCGCGCTCACTCGCTTGGTTCCTATCTGCTGAAGGTTCAGTATTCAAGACTGACAGGCCTTGACTGACAGGCCAGGTTCCAACCAGAAACGAGCTTGCGTAGCCATTCGCGCGCGGGATAAATTTATACTAACCTCCATTCGGAAAGTGATGCACCGGTTCATGACTCGTAAATTCGTGGAGGGGTCTTTTTTTTCGCGTTTTTTTCTTGAGTTACAACTCAGGGCAAATCGAGGGGGTCGCAACTTTTGCAACATAAATTTATCGTGGGAGAGAAGAAGGGAGTGAGGCATGCAGATCTTCGTAGTCCAAAGTGCGCGCCACCCGATCGTTTGCGTCGTCCAAATCCAAGGAAAGATCGACAGAAATGGGTTCCTCGTGCTTGATGCCGTGCGGTAGCTTGTAATCGTTCGTCCCGTTGGCGTCGAGGATGCATTTAGTGACTGCAATTTTGACATCCCAGCATCTCTGAAGTCTCTCGCGGTCATGATATTCATGGTATTGCTCCACCACGAGGTTCCAAAACTCGTCCTTATTGGCGGCGCTGTGTTCGATCTCACGTTCGTGCTCTTGAACGAACTTTGATAGCGACCTAAAGAAGCAGAGATCGTTCAAGTTGGTGTCCGGCGAGTTGGCCGGTTGTAACACAAATTTGATCATTGGCATTTGCTTCACATCGATGCGCTTCCGTTCCTTTCCAGCAGCGTTTAAAGCGTCCATGCACTTCACATGAGGCCGTGCGCCATCCATCTGTACAAAGACTATGTCAAAGTCTGCCATTTTCCTATAGATGTCCGGGATCAACTTCTCGGTGACTAACTCGTAGAAGAGTTTTGCGTCAACATCACAGTCTTCATCATACACGTCTCCTCGTTTGTGAAACTTGCTGTTTCGCTGCGCAACCTTTTTTTTTGCGCAGCGATACATTCCTATTCGTCCGTCGAAGTCGCCGCACGGTCGCGCAACGGCGCGCAGGCCCATCACTTTTTGAACAAAACGCTTGCTCTTCGTTGGCACCCTTGTTCGCCGTTGTTGTCCTGGGTACACCTTCACCGCTCGCTTGCGCAGCATATCCCACCATTTCTCGTCAATGTCGATCCATCCTACTTTTTTGCGACTATCTACGTTCGGGTATCGCAAGTTTTCCGTCCCCGTCCAAGTGTAATCAAGATGCTGCTTTGCCCACTCCAATCTTCTCTGCACGTCTTTTGCGCTCAGGCAAGGTACATAGCGCTCGCACACTTGGCGCCAGCCGGCTTTTTTACAAGATTCAAATACAGTTGTACACGACACGCGCTTACCTGTTCTCTCCGTGAACCGCTTCGCGAGCGATTCCCACGTGAAGTAACCTTTGACCTCTTCTGACAGGCTCTCGAGCGTCTTCATGTCATCCTCCGTCAATGCACGCGGGCGCCCACTTCTCGGTCGAGAATCAACGTTTTCCTCCGCTCGCCACCGACGTAGGATCCTGTATCCATGAGGCTTGCTTATACCCCATTCCTTGCATACATCTGATACCGAGGCTTGTCCGTAACGCACGGCAAAGTGCACACACTTGGCAAAAGCAACCCTCTCCGTGTCGCTCAGTTCCCGCCCACCGCGCTCTCGCACGCCGCTTGGAGCCTTGAACGGGCTCAACAGAGGACCGAGGACTGTGCGCGAGGGTGTTTTCTCACGCTTCCGCAGCCTCTCGCTCACCGGTCGCGTGCGCGCGTCGCCGTGAACCTCCAACTTCGTCCGTCGAGGCGCGCGATTCAAACTTGATGGCGTGCGCTCTTCCTCGCCCCCTGAGCGCTCGGTGCCCGGGTTTAGCAGACCACGCGGCCAAAACATGTGAAACTTGGCACGCGAGCTCTCCGTCGCGCCCCGGGTCGATTTGTGTCGTCCGCGCGCGCGCTGGCGCGGGGAGCACGCGCGTTTCGAATTTTTTCGTCGATGGGCGTACACACGTAGAAAAAAGGAGAAAACCCTAGGAGGGGTAAAAATTTAGCTAAATCGCTCTCGAACTTTTGCAACTTTTTTCGCGTTTTCCTATCATTTGGAAGATCGAGCAAAACTGACATCATCTCGTTGCCGCGATTTCACGCAAATTCAGAGAGAGAAACTTGCATCGACGTACGGGAAATTTCAACAGCTTTCCAACGGTGTGCGACACATCCCGCTCGGATGCGACGTCGCGTATAATGGGCAATTTTCTAAAAAGTTTTGCAACGGAGGTTAGTACTAACCTCCATTCGGAAAGTGATGATACTGAGCTTTGTTATACGCGTTATCGCATCATATCGAGGCATGCTGTACATCGATGGAAAGCTGTTGAAATTTCCCGTACGTCGATGCAAGTTCCCCGGTGTGGATTTGCGTAAAATCGCCGATGCGTGATGATTTCCATTTTGTGTCAATTCCAAAATGATAGGAAAACGCAAAAAAAGTTGCAAAAGTTCGAGAGCGATTTAGCTAAATTTTTACCCCTCCTAGGGTTTCCCCCTTTTTTCTACGTGTGCACGCCCATCGACGAAAAAAGTCGAAACGCGCGTGCTCCGCGCGCCAGCGCGCGCGCGGACGACACAAATCGACCCGGGGCGCGACGGAGAGCTCGCGTGCCAAGTTTCACATGTTTTGGCCGCGTGGTCTGCTAAACCCAGGCACCGAGCGCTCAGGGGGCGAGGAAGAGCGCACGCCATCAAGTTTGAATCGCGCGCCTCGACGGACGAAGTTGCAGGTTCACGGCGACGCGCGCACGCGACCGGTGAGCGAGAGGCTGCGGAAGCGTGAGAAAACACCCTCGCGCACAGTCCTCGGTCCTCTGTTGAGCCCGTTCAAGGCTCCAAGCGGCGTGCGAGAGCGCGGTGGGCGGGAACTGAGCGACACGGAGAGGGTTGCTTTTGCCAAGTGTGTGCACTTTGCCGTGCGTTACGGACAAGCCTCGGTATCAGATGTATGCAAGGAATGGGGTATAAGCAAGCCTCATGGATACAGGATCCTACGTCGGTGGCGAGCGGAGGGAAACGTTGATTCTCGACCGAGAAGTGGGCGCCCGCGTGCATTGACGGAGGATGACATGAAGACGCTCGAGAATCTGTCAGAAGAGCTCCAAGGTTACTTCACGTGGGAATCGCTCGCGAAGCGGTTCACGGAGAGAACAGGTAAGCGCGTGGCGTATAAAACAGTGTATAATTTTTGTAAAGCAGCTGGCTGGCGCCAAGTGTGCGAGCGTTATGTACCTTGCCTCAGCGCTAAAGACGTGCAGAGAAGATTGGAGTGGGCAAAGCAGCATCTTGATTACACTTGGACGGGGACGGAAAACTTGCGATACCCGAACGTAGCTAAGAGCAAAAAAGTAGGATGGATCGATATTGACGAGAAATGGTGGGATATGCTGCGCAAGCGAGCGGTGAAGGTGTACCCAGGACAACAACGGCGAACAAGGGTGCCAACGAAGAGCAAGCGTTTTGTTCAAAAAGTGATGGGCCTGTGCGCCGTTGCGCGACCGTGCGGCGACTTCGACGGACGAATAGGAATGTATCGCTGCGCAAAAAAAAAGGTTGCGCAGCGAAACAGCAAGTTTCACAAACGAGGAGACGTGTATGATGAAGACTGTGATGTTGACGCAGACATCTTCTACGAGTTAGTCACCGAGAAGTTGATCCCGGACATCTATAGGAAAATGGCAGACTTTGACATAGTCTTTGTACAGATGGATGGCGCACGGCCTCATGTGAAGTGCATGGACGCTTTAAACGCTGCTGGAAAGGAACGGAAGCGCATCGATGGGAAGCAAATGCCAATGATAAAATTTGTGTTACAACCGGCCAACTCGCCGGACACCAACTTGAACGATCTCTGCTTCTTTAGGTCGCTATCAAAGTTCGTTCAAGAGCACGAACGTGAGATCGAACACAGCGCCGCCAATAAGGACGAGTTTTGGAACCTCGTGGTGGAGCAATACCATGAATATCATGACCGCGAGAGACTTCAGAGATGCTGGGATGTCAAAACTGCAGTCACTAAATGCATCCTCGACGCCAACGGGACGAACGATTACAAGCTACCGCACGGCATCAAGCACGAGGAACCCATTTCTGTCGATCTTTCCTTGGATTTGGACGACGCAAACGATCCGGTGGCGCGCACTTTGGACTACGAAGATCTGCATGCCTCACTCCCTTCTTCTCTCCCACGATAAATTTATGTTGCAAAAGTTGCGACCCCCTCGATTTGCCCTGAGTTGTAACTCAAGAAAAAAACGCGAAAAAAAAGACCCCTCCACGAATTCACGAGTCATGAACCGGTGCATCACTTTTGACACGGAGGTTAGTACATAAATACAATAGCTAATTCTAGGTCAAGGACTCTCACGGTCCGCCGTTTCGTAGTCAAAGTAATCCAGCCTCCCTGTTCGTCGCCATGACTCGAGCAACTCTTTGTCGTTCGGTCTGAGTGCCTTTGCGGAGTCTCTGGCGGCCATCGCGGCGAGCCAGACGACGAACGCCTGTGCTCCCTGCGATTCTCCGAGTTCGTACCCCTGAAACTCGCGCATCGCGAGCTGAAACCGCTCGGCAAACGGGTATATTGCGATGTCAGCAATTGATGGCGACGAGCCGAACAGAAAGTCCCCTCCGCTGCTCGCGCAGAGCGAGTCCAAGCGTGCCACATTCCGCTCCAACCCGTCGATCACGCTCGATCGCGGTTGAACACCACGGATGCTCCACCCACCACCTATGAAAGAGAGACCAGAGCTGATGAATCCGCCGTACGCGTCGGCGTCCTTGACGAAATCCAAAATCTCCTCGCGCGGTCCGACCCTCGACGTGAGCGACCCGCGATCGAACACGTCGTCGACGACGGTGATAATTCGCAAGGACTCCGTAATGACGTCGCCGTCGTCGAGGGACATCGCCGGGACGAGGCCGCGCGGGCAGGCGCGCAAGAACCACGCGGGCTTGGCGCTCAAGTCGACGTGTCGCTCGAACTCTTTCGGCGATAAACCCTTCTCGACAAGCGCCAATGACGCTCGATGTGCGTACGGACACAGGGTGTGCGTGTACAGCGTCACCGCGGGCGGCATCATCAAGATTTATCTGCGAGGCGTTGTGAAGCGCGGCGACCGGCGCGCTCACTTGCCGATACAAAAGCGCTCAAAGATTGTGTCCAGGACATCCTCGGTAACGTCCTCGCCCGTGACGGTGCCGAGGGCGAATGCGGCCTCGCGCAAGTCGATGGTCCAGAAATCCAGCGGCATGTCCGCGTCGATGGTGTCTCGGAGTCGATCGAGCGAGTCCAGGGCGACGTGCAAAGCCTCCGCCTGGCGCTGGTTCACCGCCCAGGACTCGCTCTCGGTGTTCACGACGTCTCCGGTTATGCAGCGCGCGAGTGCTCTCTCCAACTCGACGAGGTTATCACCCGTCGCGGCGCTGATGCGAACCACGTCACTAAAGCTATCGACGACGTCCGCGGGCGGTGTCGCGTTTTCCGCGTCGGCGACATCCGTCTTGTTGATGACGAGAATCGCCGCTCCGCGCGCGCGCTCGTTCGCCGCAATCTCACTCTTCCAGATATCATAATCCTCACTCACCCATCCTCGCGAGGCGTCGACCACGAGAGCGACGACGTCCGCTCCCGCGGCGGCGGCTCTCGAGCGCTCGACGCCGATTTGCTCAACTTCGTCATCCGTCTCACTACGAATCCCAGCGGTGTCGAGTAGGACGACGGGAATACCGGCGACGTTCATCGACGCCTCGACGACGTCTCGCGTCGTTCCCTCTCGAGAGGTCACGATAGAGCGCTCGCTTCGCGTGAGCGCGTTGAGCAACCGGGATTTGCCGACGTTTGGTCGTCCCAAAATCGCCACCGTGACCCCGGTCTCGAGCAAGGCACCGCGCTTGGCCGTTTGCAAGACCTCACGAATTTTTTCCCGCGCCTCACTCGCCTTTCTCTCGATAGCTTCGACGTCTAAAGGCACCATCTCGTCGTCAAAATCCAGTCGCGCCTCGAGCTCGGCGAGCAAATCGACGCACGTCCGCCGCGCCTCGCTCACGGGCGTCGTCAGCCCCCCCCGCATCGCCGCCAACGCGCTATCCGCCCCCGCCGTCGTTCGCGCGCTCACGAGCGCGTGCACCGCCTCCGCCTGCGCTAAATCCAACCGTCCGTTCAAGAACGCTCTCAACGTAAACTCGCCTCTCCGCGCCGTCCGCGCGCCGAGTTCCCGACACCGCATCAACGTCCTCTGCACGCACACCGCCCCCCCGTGACAGTGCAACTCCACCACATCCTCCGCCGTGTAACTTCTCGGCGCGATGAACGCGATCGCGATCGCCTCATCGATCGCCCGTCCGTCCGCCTCCGTCACCCGTCCGTACGTCGCGCGATGACTCTCCCACGTCTCCACGCCCTTCCCCCCCCGCCCGACCGCGAAGACGTCGCTCGCGATCGTCAACGCGTTCGGGCCGCTCAGGCGCACGATCGCGACCCCCCCCACCGCGCCCGCGGTCGCCGTGGCGACGCCGACGATGGTGTCCGCGTCACCGCCGCCGGGACCGACCGCGCGCGCCGTCGCGCGTCCGTCGCGTCGCGGACGACCGCGCGCTCGGACTTTGGGTCGACGCGTCGGCGTCGCCGTCGACGAAGCGGTCGACGTCGCCATCGCGCGCGGCGCGGACGGCGTCGACGGCGACGGCGTCGGCGACGGCGTCGATGGAGACAAAGCACACAAAATCGTGGGGCGCTCTCGCCTCGGACACAAAGTCGTGGGGCGCTCTCGCCTCGGACACAAAGTCGTGGGGCGCTGGCCTCGCCTCGGCGGCGGCGGCGACGACGCGCGCGGTCGCACAATCAGCCGAGCTCCGTTCGTCGACGACGTCGCGCGACACCACGAGCGGTGAAGCTGTCGACGAACGAGGTCCGTAATCGTCTCGCGCGACGCGACGACGCGACGGAGGACGCGCGGATGGGCGCGCGGGCGACGATCGAGGGGAGGGATTAGGGAAATCGATTGGATTCGCGACGAGACGCGCGCGGGGCGAGGGACTGACGACGGGTGCGCGCGAGACGGCGACGTAGATCGATTGAAAGGTTTTTTGCGCGCGGTATAACGACATGGCGGACGTGAACCCGAAGGCGTACCCGCTCGCGGATGCGCAATTGACGATCACCATTCTGGACATCGTCCAGCAGGCGTCGAATTACAAGCAATTGAAAAAGGGCGCGAACGAGGCGACGAAGACGCTGAACCGCGGTATCTCGGAATTTGTCGTGCTCGCGGCGGATACGGAACCGTTGGAGATTTTGCTTCATCTCCCGCTGCTCGCGGAGGATAAGAATGTGCCGTACGTCTTCGTGCCGAGCAAGCAAGCGCTCGGACGCGCGTGCGGTGTCTCTCGACCGGTGATCTCGTGCTCGGTGACCACGAATGAGGGTTCGCAGCTGAAGCAACAGATTCAAAACTTGAAGGATGCGATCGAGAAGTTGCTCATCTAATAACGCGGTCGTCGACGGGTGAGGGGAGTCGAGACGCGCGAGAGTTTCTCGCGAGAGTTTCTCGCGCGCGCTCGGCGACGCCGAGACGCCGTTATGTACCAAACATCCTAGCACACATCTAGGGAGGAACGTTCCTCGTCAATAGTCCTTTTGTTTTTTATACGAGGGAAAACGTCCACCACGACCGCGATCGAAAGCCTCGCGCGTCGCGTCCCGACGGAGCCTCAGAGCATGTTGCTCGCGCGCGCCACCCGTCCCCTCGCGCGCGTGACCTCTCGCCGCGCGTCCACTTCCACGCTCGCATCGATGTCCGCCCGGACACCGCGAGCGAGACTCAGCGGCGCCGACGCGGTTCGCGTCCTCTGGGTGTGCGACGTTCAGGAAAAGTTTGCAGGCGCAGTCAAGTCATTCGACCGCGTCGCCCTGGGCGCGTCCACGCTCGTTCGCGGATTGCCGATGGTGCACGACAAAAATGTCTTCATGGTCAGTGAACAAGTCCCGGATAAGTTAGGGCCGACGGTGGAACCGATCAAGCGAGCGATGGTTGACGCGAAGGAGAACGAGAGCGCGGACGTCTTCACTCGCGTGTACGCGAAGACGAGGTTCAGTATGTGGAAGAGCGATAACGAGGCGTTCCTGCGCGGGTGTTACGATCAAGACGTGAGATTCCAGCACGTGATCGTGGGGTTGGAGGCGCACGTGTGCGTTTTACAGACGGTTTTGGATATATTGCGAGACAGACCGAGCGACGACGTCTTCGTGTGCGTGGACGCCGTGTCGAGCATTCGATTGGAGGATCGAGCGGTGGCGCTGCGGCGCATGGAGCGCGCGGGGGCAATCTTGACGTGTACGGAGAGCGTGTTATTCGAGGTCATGGAGGACGCGACTCACCCGAGGTTTCGCGACGTGTCAAAGCTCGTGCGAGAGGCGGCGAGGTTCGCGTCGCAACTCACGTCGAGCCCGTTGCCTAGCATTTAATCTCTCTCTTGTACTGCTACAAACAATCATATTTAATCGAATAGACTCAAGTCTAAAACTTGGGAAGGACATCAGGGTACGAGGCGTACTCGTACACCTTGGCGAGATCTCCCTTCCACTCGTTCGTGAAGAGCGCGCGCGTTCGAGACGAGGCGGTGGCGCCGCCGTCAACCATTTGTTGAAGGTACTCGAGGTACACCTCTTCTCCCAACCCACGCTCCTTCAAGCCGTCCACGGCGAGCCGAACCATATCGCGCGCGATGTCTCGGGCGGTGCCATTCCTGAACTTGGCCGAGAGTCCATCCTTGGTGACGGCGACGCGAAGCGTCTCGCGTTCCTCCTTGGACCAGTCGCTCACCAGCTTTTCCGCCGCGGTGAGCGCCTTTTCGGAATACAACAAGCCAACCCAGAGAGCGGGAAGTGCCATGATGGCCTCGAAAGAGCCGCCATCGGCACCGCGCATCTCCAAGTATCTCTTCAATCGAACCTCCGGGAACACCGTCGTGAGGTGTTGCTCCCAGTCGGCGAGGCACGGCGTGTCGCCCGGAAGTTGCGGGAGCTTCCCTTCCATGAAGTCGAGCCACGATTCCCCAGAGACGTCGACGTAGGTACCATTTCTGTACACGAAGTACATGGGGACGTTCATGACGTAATCGCAGTACTTTTCAAACCCGAAATCATCGTCGAAGACCCACGAGAGCGTTCCCGTGCGATCGTCATCCGTGTCTCTCCACACGTCTGAGCGCATGGACTCGTACCCGGTGTCCTCGCCGTCCACGATGCCAGAGTTGGCGAAGAGCGCCGTCGCGAGCGGTTGAAGCGCCAATGACGTTCGAAACTTACGAATCATGTCCCTCTCGTCCTCGAAATCGAGGTTCACCTGAATGGTGCACGTGCGGAACATCATGTCCAATCCTCGGGTGCCCTTCTTCGGCATGTACGCGCGCATAATCTTATACCGACCCTTGGGCATCATCGGCGTCTCCGCGACGCTCCACTGCGGATCGAACCCGATACCCATAAATTGATGCCCCTTTTCCTTCGCGAGCGCGGTCACGGTTTCGATGTGCCATCGAATCTCCTCATCCGTCTGCCGCAGGTTTTCGAGCGGCGCGCCCGAGAGCTCGAACTGTCCGCCCGGCTCCAAGGTGACGCTCTGCTTATCCTTCGTGCACCCGATGATGTTCTCCCCCTCATAAATCGGCGCCCACCCGTATCGATCGACGAGCGACGTGAGAACGTGTCGAACGACGGGGTAATCCATCCGTCTCAGCGTCGCCGCGTCGAACCCGAGCTTTTCGTGCTCCGTCCCGATCCTATCGTCGTCGAACGAAATCCACCCACCGGTCAGTCTCACCACCCGCGACGCGCACCGACGCATCGACATCATTCACCACCACCGAACGAACCCCATCACCCCCCCGATCGTACACACCGAGCGCCGTCGTCCCTCGCTCCCGTCTCGTCTCCGCCCGCGCCGCGTCCGCGCGTCTCACCCTAATCCCTCGTCCCATCGCGCGCGCGCCGCCGTCACCCATCGAAAACACAGCGCACACGCACCGAAACATCTCCCTCGGTTTACATCCCTCTCGCACGTACGCCACGCACGCCTCTCGCGTGAGCGCCGCGCTTCCTTTCACGCACGGCGTCGACGGCGCCGCCGCCGCGCGCGCGCGTCCGCCCACGCGTCGTCCGTCGACGCGTCCGCGTCCGCGC